GAGGCTACATAATCCTAATAGTGTAATGCAAGTAGTGGTGGATAGGCCCGATGAAGACATGCTTAGGCCTAACTTAGAATTACCCCCAGTTTTCCAGAGGTTATATGTTGGGTTTGCAACCCTTAGAACAGGATTTGTTTGAGGATACAGGCCCATTATAAGATTGGATGGGTGTCATTTGAAAGGAATCTATGGTGGACAATTATTATGTGCACTTGGAAGGGAACTCATGGATGATATTGGTAGTGCTGATGACATGGGATGGGTCTTCATTTCTGATAGACAGAAGGGGTATGGTACCTGTATTTGAGGAGGTAATGCCAAATGTAATAGTGTAGACACCCCATTTTTTACCGTCCTCAAGACTTGGATGTCATCGTTTGAACACTCGATGATCATCTATGCTCGTGTTCGTTTTGAGTTCCTGAAGGTCTCGGCTGCGCGCCTTGCCTTAGAACCTCTTAACTTGTCTGTTTTGTGCTTAGTTGTGGACCAAGGACTTGTGGTTTTGTTTCTGAGGGAAGAGGGTGGCTTGTTGGCCAGCCCTACAACCCATCGGCCAAGCCTTGTGCTTATCGGCCATGTTTTCTTGTCATCGGCCATCAGTGATGGTCGATCGACACTCTTTTTGGCCGATCGCCACTCTTTTTAGACTATCGGCCATATCTTTTGGCCGAGGCCTTTTTATTTGCTTTTGCAGATATTTTTGTGCTAGCTGTGACAGCTAGTGAGCACAGATTTCATCCTCCGTACACGTGTATAGAGGGATTGAAACAAGTCTCAAGCTTGCTCAACAAGCTTGAGATTTGATTTTCTATAAGAAGGGAGGCCCCTCTCCCTTTCCAAAGGTTCTGAAAAATTAAGATACAAGATATATATCTCTCTCTATACATATATTTCCTCTCTCTCTCTCTCTCTCTCTCTCTCTATATATATATATATATATATATTTGCGTTTGTTTGTGCTCAAAAATGCATTTTCATCATACTATTGCACACAAACACAAACTCAAACGCCATTCTTTTATTGCTGAGGCTTTTTGAAGTTGGTTTTAGAGTTTTTTGACTGGTTTTGATCAAAAAAGGCTGCTGGAGTTATTGCTCTAAAGTTGTTCTACAAGGGTGAGCTTCTAACCTGTTAATCCCTTATTTTTTATTAAGCTTTTTGCCCTACTTGCATGTTGTTTTAGGCCTAACTTTCTACTGAAAAAAATTCTGATTTTTCATGCTTGTAATGTTTGTTTAAGGTCTCTTTTGTGTTAGGGGTGGTCTACCCCCTCTTATGCCTTGTTTGGCTTTGTTTTACACCATCACTTTAGGCCATCGAGATCACTTTCTCTTGGCCTTTTAACCACTGAAATCTAGTGGATTTTCAGTGGTAAAACTTGTGTTTTGAGGTCTTAAATATGAGAGGGTCATCCCCTCTCCTTGTGTCTTGTATGCTTGTATAGATGGCTCATCAAAGTGGCATCTTTGTCAAGCTTGTTTTAGCTCCATGTTAGCATGTATTAGGCCTTATTTCAGCATGACATACCACTGTTTTGACTTGGTTTTATCACCCCTTGCATGGTTTATACACTTGTAGTGTAATTCATACAAACTAGTCTTGTGTGCTTTATGAAGTAGCATGTCTTTCTAGCACGTTTTGAGTCCATCTCAGTATGTTTTTGGTGTTGTTTTGCCATGATATACCTCTGTTAAGGTTTGGGTTGATAGCCCCATGCATGCTCCATGCACTTATAGTGCATTTCCGTTCACTAGCCTAATGTGTATCGTGCTTTTGATCATCATTCTAGCATGCTTTTGACTCAACTCTAATAAGATTTTGTTCATTTTTTACCATGTTTAAGGTCTGATTTATGTTGTTTTGACCATGCATGCATTGCTTTGTATAGCCATGGTTCAATCTAGCTCACTAGCTTTGTGTATTGAGTCCACTAACATGTATTGCTTGGGCTAATTTCATGATTTGGTATTATTTTATATGTGATTTCAGTCCATGTTTCATGTTCATGCACTCATATTTGTCACTCTTTTCATGCTTTGAAGGGTTGATCCTTTATGCCTTAAACATGAATCACTTTATGCCTTAAACATGAGTCATTGTGTATGCCTTCATGCCTAAGCTTGCGAGCTATCATTTCAGTGTGTTTTTGGGGTTATTTTGCCATGATATAACTCTGATTTTTGTGGGTGAAGTCATCTCATGCTTGGTCTTGGTAGGTGTAAAGTAATCCTCCCTATTACCCTCGCATGATCCATGTTTTAGCCTTTCATGCTAGCTTGTTTTGGCTTTACTACGTGCATGTTTTAGCCTTTATTTAGCATGATCTAGGACTGTTTTGGGCTGTATTGGCCATATTCTTCATGGTTTGCATAGTTGTAGTGCAAACGCCTATGCTAGCTTCAAGCTTTGAGTTTCCTAGCATGCTTCATTTATGATATGTCCATGATTTGGCATCACTTACCATGTTATTGCAGAGCATATAGCATTGCCATGTTCCTATTTCTTTTACCCTTTGAGTGCCTCTAAGGGTTGTGCATTGTTGCCTAGCTTATGGACCAATATGTGTGCATGCATATTTTGCCTTTTGGTGCCTTAGTTTTGGTGTTAATGGCCACTGTTTTGGCATGGCTGAGGTCCGTCCATATTCGGTTTAAGTCCATTGAGCATTTTTGTTTTCATGTTGTTTGTATGTTTGTTGCATTACATTGAGTTTACATGCTCGTTGCATTGCCTCATGTTTGCATGCTTATATTGTATTGCATTATGTTTGCATGCCATTAGCATTGATAGCGTGTTCATGTTGCATTGCATTGTGTGTGCATATGTTGCATTGTGTTTGGATAGGGTGTTAGTCCACACACGAGGAACGAGAGACGTTTCGTACTTGAAGTGACGAAACGTGCCTCATTTCTCGGTCGCCGACCCTCTTGATCATGCATGATAGACGTTAAGGCATTTATGTGTTTTTGTGCATTTATTTGCCATTGACTTGTGCATCTTGGCTTCTCGGCCATCATGCATTCAGATGCGTGATTGGTGGCTCGAAAGCCGAGCACTACACTCCTTTGAGCCTTAGACTTGATAAGAAGTGTAGTTGCACACACATTTTCTTGTAAATACACTGCCATGCCTCTGTTAGTGCTTTGTTGCAGCAAAAGAAGAATTTGCAAGAAGTGTTGGCCGATCGACCATTGGATCTGCCGATCAACTACAAAATTGGCCGATGACTATTAAACTTGGCCGATGGCCATTCCTCTTGGCTGACCACCTCTCAGATTGTTCATAAGGTTGATCATAAGTGTTTTGGAGATTGGCACAATTTTCAGAAGTCTAAAGCAGTGCAAACAGAGGCAATATGAGGCACAGTGGTGGATTTCCGAGAGGACGCGACCGAGCATGCATCATTCATCATTCCGAGGCAGAGCTGTGGCAGCCTATTTAGTTTCTTATTTGGTTTTGTAATTTAATTAATTTGATTGATTAGTTAAAGTTTTGTAATAATTAATTAGCTAAGTTAGTTAATTAGTTGTTTTGTAATAATTAGTTTAATTAGCACAGCTAGTTAGCTTATTGTTCGGACCCTCCGTCGGGAGGGCCCAACTGTTGTAATAAGCGTACAGGTGTGCGATGCATGTCTTCCAACCTCCATTTCTTTCTCCCTTTTACTTAACCGCTTACGATGGTTAGTTTTAGGGCATATTTCATTAGCATACTTATGCTTCACATGCGTGCACCCATTTATCTGTATTGCATGCACCGAGCTCGACGCATCATACTAGCTGCATTGTATTTCAATACATTTACTTAAATACGTGTTCAACAGCATGTTATCAAGTTGCATTCACATGACATCTTAGAATAGTCGAGCCTATCTTAGTTGCATTTTTTGCATGTATTGCATTAGCTATCTTAACATAGCTAGGATCATGCATGATTACTAACTAGCTTCTTTTTTGGCTCGGAGTACACTGTGAGTGTTTACGCTTTAGCATACTGCATGAGTGTAAGTGATTGCCATGTTTAGCATGCTTACCATGAGGCTAACTGCTTAAGTGATTAACTGCTTGAATGCTTGTGGGTGAAGGCTTCATTGCTTAAATTGGAACAATTCATCAAAATACGAGTTTTAAGCCCACTTGAAGTGGCAAATCATCATGTTTTCTAAATCCCACTTCAGGGTGGCAAAATTTACAACTTAGCCTACTTGCGAGTAGCACCTCTAAACCGTTTTCAAACAAACGAACATGAAATATTTTGTTCTAACTTAGGCGATCTAGTCTATACTTGTATGTTGTGCGCATCACATAGTAATTCTAGATTAATAACCAGAATAAGAACACATGTGTTTTCAAAAACAAATATCATGCTAGTAAAGGCCGATCTTTGATCGGGCGAGCGGGGGTGCTCATTGCATGACCTTCCTCTCTCGTACCCAAGTTCCCAAGCCGAGGCAACTTTGGTGATGACGGACACATGGCCTTAGGCACGAGTCATGATTTCCTAAATTTTTTCAAAATAAAACATTTAGGTGGCGACTCTGTATCTGGTAAAGCAGTCTGTGTTTGACACTTCTTTATTAAAATCGATTTTTCAAAACGATTTGCCGAATTTGGACTTTTTGGTGATTTATCGGTCTCACATTGCACTTTGTAAGATTAGATTCAGAACCGTGACATGAGTCTAAACTGTAGTACCTAAAGAACTAACGATTCGGGCCCTCGCGCCCGAAGCCGAGAGTTCCGGGTGGTCTACAAATAGGTTTTGTATGAGGTATATTTACTCAAATTTCAGAGCAAAGTTCAAAGGGATTGAATTGAAGGACCTATTGTGGAAGGCAATTGCAGCTGGGACTGTGAGGGAATTTGAATTTCACATGAACAAGTTGAAGGATTCAGAAGAGAATGCATACAAGTGGCTAAGGAAGATAGATCTTGCTTTATGAACTAGGTCCCATTTCAGCCCAAGAAGTAGGTGTGATACATTGGTGAACAACATGTGTGAGTCATTCAATAACAACATCTTGGAAGCTAGGGACAAACCTATAGCCAGCATGCTTGAATGGATTAGAAAGAGGGTAATGCACAGGATTCAAATCAAGAAGGAAGGGATGGAAAAATACACTGGTGAAATTTGTCCCAACATTGTCAAAGATTTGAAAGCACTAAAGGTGCAAGCTAGGAATTGTTTTGCAACCTATTGTGGTGACAGAAAATTTGAAGTAGATTGTGGTGATACCACACATATTGTTGATTTAGAGGAAAAGAAATGCAGTTGTAGGATGTGGGATTTGGCTGGAATACCTTGTAAACATGCAGTAAGTTCCATATATGTTAAAAGAGAGAAACAAGAGGACTATGTGCACCCTTGTTAGAGTAAGCAACATTATCTTGTAGCCTATAACTCAATGATTCACCCTGTTCCAAGCCAACATGATTAGGTTGAAATAGGATTTCCAATAGTGGCTCCTCCATTATACAGAAAACAGCCTGGAAGACCACCAAAAATGAGAAAAAAAGGTATAGATGAGCCAAGAAACCCTGTCAGAGTTTCAAGGCAGAATAGGTTCATGGTTTGTGCTAGATGCCTTCAGAAAGGTCACAACCAAAGGTCTTGTAAGGGTCCAGTCCATCCCAAGTCCAAGCTTTTTAAGCAAAAAAAAAGTAACCAGCAGCAACCACCTTCACCAGCAACAATAACAGCAACAGCAACAGCAACAGCAACAGCAACAACATCTCAAGTAATCTGAACCCCCAATTTCATTTCATTTTGCAATACATTCTACAACAATTTCATTTCATTTTGTAACCTGAACCTCCAATTTCAAATCATTGCAGCCCAGAAGGAAGCTCCCTAGTAGGAGGGCCAACACATCCTTATCTCAAGTAAGATCTGTCCACTTTGCATACTTGTTACATCATTGCAGCCCAGTTTTTTTGTTGATTTGCATACTTGTTACATCATTGCAGCCCACTAGAGTTGGCCAAACATTTGAAGAATTTCCAAGTATGAGAGGCGACACATCAACATCTCAGGTAAGCTCTCTCTTCTATAGGTGTCATTTGGTTTTTGACATAGTTAACAACATATAATTGCTTACTTGGACCATTATCATTGCAGCCTATTAGAGTGCAATACAGTTCTCCAGAATTTGATAACTCATCATCTCAGGTATACTCAAATTTCATTTGCAAGCTCATATGCTTTTTACATAACTTGTAACATTTGATTGCATACTTGTTAAATCATTATAGCCCAGGATTACTGAAGTTGGCCAAAATTCTCCACATTTTCCAACTTGGATGGGCAACACATCTTCATCTCAGGCAAACTTTCTCTCTCTTCTATGCAACTTTATTTGTTTTTATAGTATTCCACAAAATGTAATTGGATACTTGTGTGTGTTGCAGCCCACTAGTTATGGTAGATGAAGGGGTAAACCAGTTGGAGGTGGTAGGGTTATGTCCAGATCTGCATGGAGAGGTGACTAGGCATCTGTTTTTGTGTTTTGAGCCAGCTTTTGTTGTGTTTTGAGTACTTATCAACTTGTTAAATCATTAAGTGAGTTGTACCAATTTGTTTTTGAATTTGAAACTAGCTAGTAAACAATAATATCTTAGTTTACTATGTTTTAAGAAGCCCAGCGAGTTGAATTATGGCTTGTATTAAAGTACTGTGAGTTGAATTATACAATTCTGAGTTGATATTTACACATTGTTTGCTTGCTAAAATTGTTTACTTGATGAAATTGTTTATTAATACACATGTTTACTTGCTGAAATTGTTTTGTATGAAGCAAATAAAGCATGTTTCAAATAGGGGAACAATGGAAACCAACATGTTTCTATTCTTTAATGTTCTTGAAAGATGTATTCAACAATTTATTGCATTTCTTTGGTTCATCAGATGCTTACATTTCATGACCCAAAACATTCTTTCATTATAATTGCTTCACAGACCATTGTACACCTTCATTTTTTACCTTCACTATATTTTTCATCTCTCAAACTCTATGGCCCAATAACAACCCATTTTTCTTCCCTCGAGCTAGCTTCACCCAGAAAATTGTTATGATTAAAAAAAAAAAAAAACTATATGCCAAACAGAGCTTTGCAAAACATTTTCTTCCTTCTACGACTTCTTGCTAGTTCCTTCTCCAACCTATTCATCTTTGCAACCATCTTTGGCAACACCTCCCTCCCACGTTGGCACATGGGTGGATCAACCCATTCAAAGTAGCCACAAGTTGCATCAACCTATAACAAAAAAATATGAATTCACAAATTCCTTTTCAAACAAAATTCAATCTTTTTTTTCAAAATAAAAAAACAAAAAATTAGTTTTGCTTACCCCATATCTTGCACAACCATAAAACCTTCTACCCATATTTCCAGATGTCATTGAAGTCTTCACAGGGAATCTCTCTCCACAATAACATAGTCTTAGAGCATTTGTCCTTAACTGTCCACTTTTGGAAGCAAATGAAGAAGTCATTCAACAACAATCTTCAAAATCTTCAATTTTAGAAAAATCTGGGCAACTTTTGAAAAATTTGGGCAAATTTCAGTTTAGGGTTATATTGTTTGGGTCTTGATTTGTGTATATATATGGCAATAAAGGTGTTTTGGTCATTTGCCATTTGTTCATTTGCCATATGTTTTTGGGCAGGAAACACCACTCTCACCATTTCTGCTCCTGCAACACACACACTGTTTAAACAAACAGTTCCGTCGGATATTGCACTATGGTATGAAGTATAGGGAGTTTAAGTGTTACAAATGAAACTGTAGGGGAGCTCCGTATTTTTTAGGCAAACTACAGGGGATTAAGTTATAATTTACCCAAAAAATATATTTAAATAATAATTTGTAGTTTTTATCAAATAATTTTATTAATTATGTTCTTATTTATATAAAAGATCAATCTTTAGACCTAATATTATATCTCTATAGAAATGGATTTATCACTAACAAATCCTAAATTTTACAAAATTGATGTTAGTCTAATTTATTAATGAAAAGTTAACTAATTTTATATCAATTGTTAATATTTTTCTTTTAAAATTAAACTTCATCCCATGGTTACTTTCGATCGTGCTCTTTATCTATACATACTTTTAGGCCACGTTTATTTGGCGAATTAGGTTAAATAAGACTATTAGTGAAAAAAATATTAGTGAAGAAATTGTTAATGTGAGGATTATTAGTGAAGAAATTAAATAAAAGTGTATTTATTTTGATGATAGTGTGAGAGATGATTAGTGATAGGATTATTAAATTATTTTTATATAAAATAAATAAATAAATAATTTCTATATTAAAAAATTAAAATAAATATTAAAACAAACAGATACACTTGTTAAAAAAAATAAATTTTTTATATAAAATAGACTTAAGCCCTTCACTGTTTTCCTAATTCCACCTAAAATTCACCTAAACTAATCCTCGTAGGGAGGGGGATTACTAAGCCCTTCACACTAGCAATCTCCCCCCCCCACCCACTCCCTCCAAATCAATGGCAAACAAGTTGTGGGTGGAATCCACAGCTATCTTAATCCCATCCGGCTTTCCACCCCACCAAACAAACATAACCTTAGTTAAATACAAAAACTTTGAGCAATCAAACTACTCTCAAGCCTACTGGGGAAATAGGTTATTTTAATAATTTTTTGACTTTTTATGAAAAGATATATAAAAAAATAGAGAGTGATATGATAACTGATAATAATTTTTTGACTTTTTAATTAAAATATATAATTAACAAATGAGATCTTAATTAATTATTTATTTATTTTGGCCCTGTTTGGTATAACTTATTTCAGCTTTTAGCTTAATTTAAGCTATTTTGATGTATTTGGTTCAGCTTAACAATACAGCTTATAATTTTTTGTAAGTTAAAAATCAACTTATTCTTTGAGTGGGAGAGGAGAAACTTAATTTATAAATCAAAAATCAACTTATGTTCACAGCTATAAGCTGTTAAGCTATAACGTATAATTATTTTCCTACAGCTCTACCAAACGAAGCCAATAATTAGCGTCTCTCTGTGATTTGGTAAATCACATTCTAGTTTCTGTTCTGATTGTTTGATTTATATCTGTATCCTCTTTATGCAAATGGATTGCCAAGCTTGACTCATGTTCCAGACCTGTTGAGATTTGTAATTACAATACCTTCGGGTGCTAATGTATTCTCTCTATTTTTTTAATATATTTTTTATATAAAAATTAAAAAAATACTAAAAATGATAATTTCTGAATGAATCTTCAACATGTCAATTTTTAATTCGACGTTTGACTTTTTTACAAGTTTGCTCGTGACAATCGATTGTTTTGACTAATGTTAAAATTCCGAAAATTTCAGTTTTATTGATTAAAAATATTTACAAAATTATAATATTAAAATTCTTTTCAATGTAACAAAACACAATAAGAATTGAACCATAAGGTCACGTTTATTTAACGCTATAAGATAGAAGAGATTAAGAATATGGTGAGATTAAGGTCTTGTTTGAGAACTCTTATTTTTAGTCAAAAAATTACTAAATTAGTCAAAAAGCTAACAATCCATACCAAAAAATCAAAGATTCTCTTTTCTCTTTACTTTTTGCACATCTTTTCATAAAAAGTCAAAAAGTTATTCCAAACATACTAATTTTTTTTAGTTTATATTTTAGCCAAATAGTCAAAAAGTTACTAAATTAGCCTGTTCCCAAACGAAGATTATTAATATGGTAGTGTTAGATTGGAACGGTAGGATAAAGAGTATTTGTTTGTATATTACCGGATTAGTAATACTATGAATAGTATTAATATATAAAATTATTATTTTTTAAGTTTTAGTTTTTTTTAATATTATAATTTTTTTTTACTCTAAAAAATATAATTTTTGTTTAAAAATCATTTAAAATTCTACTAATCCCCTCACTCAATTTCTAATCTCAACCCTCCCATGACTTTGTTAGTCTTACTACACGGAAGGGATTACTAGTCTAAGGAAATAGTTAATCCCCCTCACTTATGTTCCCAACCAAACACTCTTTAGGTCACTCATGTTCCCAACCAAACACTCTTTAAGTAAGTCCCATAAACTATTAATCCAACCTCCCTTTCTAAAGAGCCAAACAAGTATGGCTTACAAGATGTTGAAATTTTTTCCAATCTCTACCAAATAGGAATTTTTCCAATATAATCTAAGAAAAGTCTATCCATTCAATACAATATTTAAATAAAATTAAAATTGAGAAATTATAAGTAAAAAAAAAAAAATCCAAAGTTTTGATCCTAGTAACAAAATATATAATACAGTTTTAATTTGATTAATTTAAATTATAATCTTTTAATTTATTTTTAATCTAAACTATTTGTCTATTTTCGTTAGAAAAATAAAAATATTTTCATTATTAAGCTCAATAAAATATATTTATATACACCTGACTTGAGTTAAGTCTCAATCTTAGCTGTTAAACTCAATTAAAAAAAAGGATAAGTTTTTCAATAGGACAAAAATGCAAGCAGAGAGGAACCGAATGTTAGGTCTCAGTCTCGTGTCATTACCAAAGCCATACCAAAATTTCCAGAAATGCCAAACATGAGGTGTGATAACAACTTATTTATGCATGCGCGCACACAAAAAAAGAAAAAAGAAAAAAAGGATTCGTAGAAAGCTTTACAACAATAAAACTGTGTTTGGATTTTGAACTTGTGAAAGATTTTCTCCACAAATCCCTTCATAAAGATCCAAATACATAATCAGAACTTGTAGATTTTTCATGAAGATTAACGTCCAAGAGAATTATGAGAATTTTGCAAGGCACGTGTTTTATTTGCAAGTACAATTTTCATTTCTCTCTTCAAATGTCACATGACAGGTCATTTGTCTCTGTTTGAGTTTAAACTGTTACAAAATGGATGAACATATAATACCTCCTCCTTGAGTTGTATCCCAAACTTCTGATAGACCATCTCTTTAACCAAATTGATGAGCTCCAACATGTCTTCAGAAGTTGAGCCACCAGAATTAATGAAGAAGTTGGCATGGATGTTTGAAACCATTGCCCCTCCAACTCTGTGACCTTTCAATCCAGCTCTCTCAATCAACTCCGCTGCTGAAACCCCCGAATTGGATGGGTTGCGAAACACTGAGCCAGCGCTTCTCTCTCTCACTGGCTGAGAGATTCTCCTCCTGTAAACAAAATCATAGACCTGTTAGCATTTATCACCTTGAAGTTCTTGTGGTATAAACCACACACACACAATAGAATCCATCACAAACAAGAAAAACATGACATGTACATTTACATGGTTCAACAAGGTTGCCTACATCCACGGTACAACTCACACCAATTCCACTATACTGAAAAAAAAACGAGCTTCTTATAAGATAAGTTGGTAATCACAAAGCAGAAGCCAAAAACATTCTCCCCCACTTTCCAAATAGTAATCAGTTTTTTAAAATTTATTTCAGCTGTTTCTACTCAATAAGCTGTTGACGGAAACTACATTAAACAGTTTGACAGAGACTCTGAAAATACAAAAAGCTATAAGCAACTCATATAAGCTGCACCAAATAGTCAAAATGTGGGTGCTTGTGTAAACAATAATACATATGCTAGAATTTACATCAACAGATTACCATAATACGCCTTGAAAATTTGTCTTGGGCCACAATCCCCACCCTTGGGTAGGGGGCACTGCCCCTGAAATCCCCTGCCAACTCACCGCGGAGTTGGATTTGTGACCGTGAGGTGAAGTGTACAGAACTAGTTAGGCTCCACAAACCCAACAGAAGCATTATGACCCTCAGATTTCATTACCTTTCCAAGTACTCTTGTTGCCTTCTCCTTGCAGATTCCGAGTGCTTCAATTGGAATGTAACAGCAACGATGGCCGCCAAGTCTTCCATATCTTGAAATGGTGATGTTCGGTAGCCAAAATTAAGATCCGTTCTATTCAGTATCTGAAATTTGCCTTCAGTTGTTACAATCTCAATGCTGTCGATAACATCAGCAGTTTCCTTGAACATAAAAAACAAGATAAAAATACCCAATCAGCTGTTTCATTCACAAACAGTTTCAGATGTCATTTCTTTTACAGTCAGAACCAGCATCACCTGCCCATTTGCTCCGGCATTCATATAAGCAGCTCCTCCAACAGTTCCAGGAATTCCACCAGCAAACTCGAGACCTGTGAATCCTTCATTTGAACACAATATACCCAAGTGATTAAATCTGAAGCCGCTTCCAACTCTAAACATGCCAGGCTCAATCCTCTCCAAGAACCCAATCTGATTCAGAATAACACAACCATCGAAACCCAAATCATCAAAGAGACAATTTGAGCCTTTACCAATTATCATGGATCTCAAAGAATTCTCATGGCAGTACCTGCATCATTTTAAGATTTTATTTACTGCTATCACTCATTCAGAAGTGGTTGTCATGAAGGGTGAACACCAGTTCCACTGCCTCCGACAAAAAGAGGAGATCTATCCATGACAGAAAGCAAGAAATGGAGCAAAGAAAGTGGCTCCCCAAGTGCAGCCCTAGTCCCAGAGTAATCAAGTACGGCGACTAAAAAACGGTACTCCCTCTTTAGTCTCCATTGGATGGGGGTCTAGGAGGAGTAGACTGGGTAGAGACCTAACATTTATCAGAATTTGTACAAATTTGTTGCACTTAATTCGAACCCACAACCTCAAAGTTAATAGGTGAAATTTTAACCACTAAACAAAAAATCTTCTCAAACTATTAGAAAGCCTATCCAATGGGTCTACCCAGTACATCTATTTGTGGGTCTTTTTCTACTATGTTTGCAATATTTCTTACATAGTTGAATGTTCAATATGATGTCTCTATGCTCTCTTGTTATTTGATTTAGCTTAGTATTTTTGCTAACCAAAGCTTGAACCATTCCTAATCACCACCTTAAAATTTTATTTAGTAAAACATAAAAAAGAAAGAAAAAAAAAAAACTAAGCACCATTCATTTTCATTCATATAATCCTTAAAGCCTAAAATTTTCAGAGACAATAGAAAAGTATAAATAAATAAATAAACAGAATTCTGAAAATATCAAACAACAAAAGGTCAAAAATCAGAACAAGACAAACCTGAGAGCAGAGAGAAGTTGGGTTTGATTGACAACTTGAACAAAATGGTTACAAGGGCCTCCAATGGCCCAAGTGCAGAGATCGCTTAATCGTTTCTGGCTCCGAATGAATTTCAATTCGTTGGAGAGATGGTTCTTCGATTCTTGACTTTTGATGATGTATGTATGATTGGAAAGCAAAAGGCATGGTTTTTTTGTTGGGGATCTGGGCGGGAAGTGAGAGTGATGAGAGGCCTCGTAGGGTTTATAGTTGTTGCTGTTGATGTTGATGTTGATGTTGTTGGAATGTGAAGAACACAAAGCCGACGAAACACATGCTGATGCTGATGCTGATGCTGATGCTGATGGTGTCTTTAATTTTCCGATCATTTTTTTTCTTTGGATCCGATTTGCGTTTTCTCAGCCGAAGGAATTACGATTTGAAATTTTAATGCCGTGTTTGGTTAGGGGATTTGGGGAGAGATTTAGAAAGGGAAAGAAAAAATATGTGTGAAATTATGTGAAATATAGGTATATTTTTTTCACACTTCACCTACCTTTTTCATTTTTTTTTTCAAATTCCTCCTCAAATCCCTTAACTAAACACAGAAAAATATATTGTACATATTAACAATTTCTCAGCTCAAGTGACTCGTAAAAAAAATTTAAAAAATATATTGTACATATTAACAATTTCTTTTTCTTGTTTTTTTTTTTACATATTAATATTATATTATTTACAACAATAATTGAGACTATTTTTTTTGAATCTCACAATCTTTTTGAATCTCAATTATTAATGATGCGAACTCCACACATACATAATTGAGATTCAAAATGTTGTGAAATTCTAAAAAAAAAAAAGAGTCCTAAATATTTTTTTATTGTTTTTACTGTAAATTACATTCTTTTCATATTTTTAACATAATTATAATATTGATATGTTTTTACTGTAAATTACATTCTTTTCATATTTTTAACATAATTATAATATTGATAATGCAACTAACAAGAAAGCATAATGGAGAATATATAGGAGTCTCACTATTATATTCGAAGAAGGTAGGAAGGAGATAATTATGAAGACGGACGCAGAACATGTAAACGGGAAATTTTATTTTCATACATTTAATTAATTTAGGACACATATTTAATAAAATATTAATTTAATAATAATTATATCTTAAATATAAATGATTATAATAGACATCTAAAAACATCTATAATATTATATAGAGAAATTCTCTATACATATCTTTTAAGAACAAAAAAATTTCAACATTTATCTTTTGAGTTAAAAAAATTAAATTTTAATTTTTTTCACTATTGTCATTTTACTTATTAAACCCTAATTTTTCTATCTCTGCATTCTTGACATCCCATTTTCTCTATTTTGCTACATACCTGATTAATGTAGCATACTAACATGATTTCAACTGTATTGCTTTCTGATCTAGTTTCATATAATTTCTTTCATTTCGTATTACAAATTACTTTATCCCTTCATATGTTGTCTTTTTACCAGAAATTGATTTTGCTACTGTTGTATAATGTAAAGCATGGATCAGCTGCCATTGTCCAAGGAGGACAAATCAATTACTACTTCAGAAGTTTTTTCAATGGAGGTCTTTCATAGATGTTTCCAATGGAGGAAACGTTTCTTTACTTTTTCACTTGAGACTTTCGTTAAAAGGTTTTCACGGGGCTCAAAAATGTAAAAGTTGGATAAATCAAAAGTGTGTGGTGTACAATAATATTTGAGTGAAGGATATAATTATTATTTTTAGTGTGTGAATTGAAAAAATTAATTAATAAATAAATTAATAAATGTGTATATTAAGAAAAAAATGTACCCTAAATTAATTAAGCGTGTGAAAATAAAATTTCCCTAATTCAACTCATGAAAGGGGAAACACTATCCAATTTCCTCAGAGAGCCCTCACTTAAAATGCAAAGTTTCTCATGGATAGGTGCAAGTGTCCACTCAACCACATCCGGCACAAAGGAAATTAATGTACCAACAAATTAGGATGAGTATCGGATATATCGATCAGTCTAAATTAACTGAATCGAATCGATTCGTCGCATTTTGGACGGATATATAATAAAGAGTGAACGGTTGGGGATTGATTTTTTTCAATCCGCCTAGTTTTGGACAGATGGTGGATTTAAGGTTCCTTTAGCCGTAATCGAACCGTCAAACCGCGAGCACACCTAGTAATTTGTAAGATTTTGTGTTTTTAATTTGTTTAGATATTCTATTTGTGTTTTTAATTAAAAAAGAATTTAAATATTTCGTTAAATATATTATGTTGAATGAAAGTTTTTAACTTGAATATATTTTTTGAATTGAAAAAAATAAATGTATTATTTATCTATATTTTTTAATTTTTAAATCTAACTCTAAAAATAATAAATAAAAAATATGATATATGCTGGTTGATTTTTGTTTTCAAAAACAAATATAAATGTAACAATAAAGAAGTATACAATCTCTACTACTGCTTTGTTCATGGTTTTGGTAGTTTGAATTGTTTTTATATTTCAAGAACCACATATTATAATATTTGATGTAATACTTTATGTGGATGAGGAATGGTGTAATTTTTATATGTGGATGAGGCATGCAATGATTGTAATATTCTAGAATTTCAAATTTTTTTTATTTGGATGAGGCATGCAGTGATTGTAATATTTTTTTAAATCATTGACTGTAATACTTTTTTTTTTTGAGAAAGTGCATAATTTGAATTATGTTGAAAATTTATAAAATTTTAAACCGCCAAATTGATTCGCATCCATCCGTCCAATTCGCATCCTCTGGATTGGCGGACGGATGCAGATTGATTTTCTCCAATCCGCTAATCTAACGAACGGATGACAGATTAAAAATTTTATGACCACAATCGACCTGTGTCCATCCCTACTAGCCAATATAGATGTGAATCACCAAGAGGCTTTGGTAGCTTTTGAAGACCTCTAGTTATGGAGGGCTGTTTAGTGATGAAGTAGGAATTTGGTTGTGGGGGTACTTTAGCTGCTTAGACAACTATGGTGGTGTTTGGCAAGTTGGGTTGGGGTTAAAATAGCCACAAAAGACAAAACAGGCTATTTTAATCACAACAAACAAAACATCACATCCAACGTAATATTTTTTTAAATCATTGACTGTAATACTTTTTTTTTTTGAGAAAGTGCATAATTTGAATTATGTTGAAAATTTATAAAATTTTAAACCGCCAAATTGATTCGCATCCATCCGTCCAATTCGCATCCTCTGGATTGGCGGACGGATGCAAATTGATTTTCTCCAATCCGCCAATCTAACGAACGGATGACAGATTGAAAATTTTGTGACCACAATCGACCTGCGTCCATCCCTACTAGCCAATATAGATGTGAATCACCAAGAGGCTTTGGTAGCTTTTGAAGACCTCTAGTTATGGAGGGCTGTTTAGAGATGAAGTAGGAATTTGGTTGTGGGGGTACTTTAGCTGCTTAGACAACTGTATAAGTTTGGAAGCTAAACTTTGGAGAATATATCGAGGCCTAACCATTATCATGCAAAAATAGGTGACTAACATTGAAATAGAGAGAGACTCCCAGACAACTATGAAACTTATTTGTGATGGAGCTGAAGCGCACTTACCCTATAGAGCTTTCATTGAAGATGCAAACTTCCTCTTAAGGAGATGCCAATGCTCAATCAAAGCCATACCCACGAAGCCAACCAGAGTGCTGATGCTCTGACAAACATGGGAGTCAACCAACAAGAATTTACCATCTTTCTAGATGATCCACCAAGCTCCATACTTCCTTTGTTAATCACTGATATGAGAAGTGCTAGTTCTAACAGGACTTAAACTTTCTCTGGAATGCTTTTATTTTCCTTGTCTTTAATCTTTCAAATGAATCAAAAAAAAAAAAAAAAAAAAAAGCGTTAAAAAAAAGGACCCCCTAGTCAAATAGTAAGTCTGCTTGTTACTTGTGAAAGGCATTTTCACCTACTCTTTGTTATTCTTTTTCGTCATAATAATAATAAAAAATTACAATAAATTCTATCAAAATTTTAATTTGCATAACAATTATATTATTTTTTATTAATAATTCGTTAGTCATATGATTAAAAAAATATTATTCTAAAATATATATTTATTTCAGTATTTATTCATCATTGATATTAATTTTGATCGTTTTAATCATACTAAAAAGAAAGCTAGTATAATTATGTAAAAAATATAAAGCTAACCGTATTTTCCCCCAACTTCAAGAAATGTGAGTTTAATTTACCCATATTTATGTCTGGTTTGTTGTAACAAAAAATTGTATGATTTATTAACTTTTATAATATTTACTCCTTTGAAAATGATCACGGCTATTAATTCATGTGATAGTCGTCATTATAAATTTATGTAAAAATTTTTGAGATATAATTTAACAATTATAAATGTTTTAAAATAAAAAGACAATAAAATTTTATCTTTTTGGAGGGTAAAAATATTTTTTTTAAATTTAAAAATATATTTTTGATGTTTGTTTTTGTCAATTAGTGTCTATTTTTGCAAACAAATTTCAGAAAAACTAAACCAAACATGGCCTTTCTTATAACCATGTTCAGAAATAGAAAATTTGGCTATAAACCCCCTTTACCTTCCTTTCATTGTTAGAAGGACTAAGAAAAAAATTATACTTTCTAAACCCTCTCATAATTATAAAATCTTGCATAAAGGATAAGATTTATTATTTAAATATTTTATCAGACTATTATATCCTCACATATACACAATCCAGATACAAAATTTATCTTCTCTCTCGTCTCTCACTTATAACCCTAGCTTCCTCCATGGCCGGAGCTTTGTCATTTCTAAGCTCCGACAATCTCTCTCTGCATGTTCTCAACTCTCCTCCTTCAACTCTCCTTCAACTGTTCATCTTCTATTTCGTCTCTCTCTTTTAATCCTAGCTTCCTCCATGGCCGGAGCTGTGGAGAACTTGCAAATCGCGCTGATACATATATATATCTATATATATGTGTGTATTTGTGTGTTTTGAGATTTGAATTCGAATATATATGTGTTTTGAGATTTGAATTCGAATATATATATATATATATATATATCTATATATATGTGTGTGTTTTGAGATTTGAATTCGAATATATAGATTTTTGAAAGCTCAAAGTTTTAAAAATCTGAAAAATCTGTAAAATCTGAAGAACCAAGGTATGAAAAATTGAGATTTCTCTAAAATTTTCAGAGTATAGGCCTGATTCAAGGATTATAGGCATGATTCAATGTTTTTCAAAGTAAAGACCGATTGATTCAAGGATTATAGGCCTGATTCAAAACTCAAAGTTCCATCGATTTTTCAGAGTAAACATCAAATTTCATTTGATAGAACCAGAGTAAAATTTTACTCTAGTTCTATTGTTCTGTTTTTTTCATTTGACAGAACCAAAGTAAAATTTTACTTTTATACAGAGTAAAATTTTACTTTTAGCTTCAGAGTCTTACAGTTTACTTATTTTTCAGAGTAAAATTTTACTTTTATACAGAGTAAAATTTTACTTTTAGATAGAGTAAAATTTTACTCTGAAATACATAGTGAAAATGTCTTAATAGGAGAGCTGATAGATATGAGGGTAATATAGTAAAAGAAACAAGTTTTAAAATATCAGGGGGGTTTTGAAAGTACTTATATAATTCTTGTCCTTTTGAAAGAGAAATTAGATAGTGAGGGGGCTATGACCAAATCCCCCTTCAGAAATAACCTATTGGGATAAATAATACCAATCAGGATCAAATAGGGTAAAAGAAAAAGAATTATGCTAATGTGCATTACAGACTGATCTGCTAAAAATTAGGGGTAAGTAGCGGATATACCGATCCGCCAAAACCGACCGAACCGAACCGATCCATCGCATTTTGGACGGATGTGTGATGATGAGCTAACGGTTGCGGATTGATTTTCTCCAATATGCCAATTTGGCGGACGGATGGCGGATTTGAGATTTGTTTGGCCGCAACCGAACCACCAAACTGCGAACACCCCTAGTAATTTATAAGAGTTTGTGTTTTCAATTTGTTTAAATATTATGTTTGTGTTTTCAATTGAAACAGAGTTTAAATATTCTATTGAAAAAAAAAAATTCAACTTGAATATATTTTTTGAATTGAAAAAAAAAAACGTATTATTTATCTATATTTTTTGATTTTTAAATCTAACTCTAAAAATAATAAATAGAAAATATGATATATGCTGATTGGTTTTTGTTTTCAAAAACATATATAAATGTAATAATACAGAGACATACAATCTCTACTACTGCTCTGTTCATAGTTTTGGTAGTTTGAATTATTATTATATTTTAAGAACCACAGATTGTAATACTTTATGTAGATGAATCATGCTGTGATAGTAATATGTGAATGAGACATGCAGTGATCGTGATATTCTAAAGTTTTAAACTTTCTTTCTTTAGATAAGACATACAGTGATTGTAATATTTTTTTAAGTCATTGACTGTAATACTTTTTTTTTTTTTTTTTGAGAAAGTGAACAAATTTAATTATGTTAAAAATTTATAAAATTTTAAACCGCCAAACCGATTCGTATCCATCCGCCAAACCACCAATCTGCTCAATCCACAGCCGCCGAATTGGCGGACGGATGCGGATTGATTTTCTCTAATCTGCCAATTTGACGGACGGATGACGGATTGGAGGTTCCGTGACCGTAACCGACCCGTGCCCACCCCTACTAAAAATTATCATCCCCCCCAAAACACACACACACACACACACACACACACACAAAATTGGAGACATTCATAGTTGAATAAACTAAATGATCAACAAGTACTTAACAAGATTTAATAGATAAATAAAAATACTAAAGGCTAAATGAATAAATAGAAAAATGTAGTTGTATGCTGTCACTAGAAATTGATTGCAAAACAAAGAGGAAATTGTATTTTAAATGCAATCTTCATCTGTGCAAGTATTTTTCTTCCACCCCCCTCGATTGTTAACTGAACTCACAACAATCAAAAAAAACATGGGCTCTACTTAAAACGGCAACAACCTCAATATTCACAACCCAATCTTCCTATATGCTTCGCTTTCTGTCCCCATATCAAAGTCGAGAGTCAGAAATACAATGGGAACTTCGTTAGGAGTCCAACAATCAAGATTTGAGAGAGGCCGTGCAAGATATGTAGATTCTTTGCAGACAATTATGATTACAACTTACAAGTAGGATCAACCAAATGAAAGGCATCCGCAATAATTTGCTGGCATTGTGGATAAACCTCAAAATGCTTCTGCAGCACAAAATTAGAGTGGTAATCAAAGATCACAGAATGACTACCAAAAAATAACCTAAAAACAAAATTTTGAAAAAGAGAAAGGAAAGAGAAAACAAAGTTAAAATCATAATGCGGTCACAAAAATCTATTCATTCTCCAGTTGTTCTGAAGGAAGAAGGTCGAGAGACAATTATTGCTGATAAAGAATAAAAGTGAAACATTAACCAACAGTTGGTATCATTTGAAGTTGTCATAATATCCATCACATACTATCATACTGAATCTCTTTAATATTTAATGGGTACTTTGTGAACAGACTTTAGAGCCAGCTTCACTTGCTTCATTTTAACTATTATCAGATAAAACTTGCAATCTGCCACCTCATGGAGTACCTGCAGACCATTTTAATTTCTAAAGTTGGAAGGCTTTTGACTTGAGTTTATCCAATATCTTTTCAGGATATTCATATTTGCCAGCTGAGCTCACCCTCTCTTCCTCTACTTCCCCCTCAAAAATCTGGCCTTTATTTTCTTTTTTGGAAGTCATTATTTCCCCATACTGACAGCACCACTTGTTCGAAGGTAGAACTATTTTCATTCAATTATTCATCTGCTCGTCATTTCTTGAGATCAGTAATCGTGTATTTAGTTATTTTCAGTTTAAAGCAAAATCTGTTGTGACCACAAACATGTTGGAATGATGAAATTTGATTCCACAATTAACGTGTCTGGCAATCTCTCTCCCATGTTTGAAAACATAAATGACGGTTCCAGATCTAGCATTCCACTGTGAAAATCTTTTTATTTGATAGGCCTCCACTGTGAGCATCTCTTTTATTATGCTAAAGCAATCACCAAGATTTTGTTAGTTATTTAATCTAATGCACGTGTCACAAACTCCTCAGATTCCGTACCACACCAAATTCATGTTTGGTTTCATATAAAAAAGACAAATACACTATTAAAGAGCACATTAGAGGGCAGCATTCGGGATAAAAAGCTTCCAAGAATTTACTCACATATTTCAAGTTGGTAGTGAAGCCATCCGAATTTGGTCTTCAAATATCCCATTCGATGGATCTGAGTTCAGCAAAGAATCCTTGCTAACACGTTCCAAAGAAGTTGCTTCATAAATCCCTACAAGATTCATTCAAATTTACCAATAAGCCAACTTAACCAAAAAAAAAAAAATCAATAGTTGCACCTGCAGAATCTTACATTCACCAATGACAGACTAAAGCATTCATATACCAATATTACAGACCCAAAAAAAAACATTTGTGAAGAGCAAATCGGAAGAATATCAATCTTAAACTGCAGACATTAAAAGAATCTTGATCTGATATGTTTCAAAGATTTACGAGCGAAAGCTTGAAGAGATTGCCTGCTGGAAAAAGGATTGTTGCTGCAGTAAATTCATGTCATCATTTTTGTCAAAGCATTTTCCAAATAAATAGTTACATTACTCTACTAGGTTTTTATCCAAGCTCAATAGGTGGGATGCAGCCATGTTCTTGATCTGAATTTACAGTCACACTCATAGCTACAGATACTATTTTTGCTTTAAAGCTCAACAAAAATGGGGTAAGGTTGTCAGACCAAATATAATACTTATACGTCTAGTAGTGGTAGAGATGATGGAAAGCGGGTTGAGTCCGTATTGCCGCGGAGCAACAGCTGTATCCGGATCTGATCTATCTTTATGTGGTTATACATAAATTATAATCCAACATTCAAGTATTTGATATACTTTCGCGCCTTTGCATTGGCATACGGTCAACTATTTCTCACAATAAGCAACCATTTCTCAATTCTCATGGGTCCTCTAATTATTCACCTTGCAAGTGCATTTAGTATGTATCATCACCTCCTTGCAATTATAGCCAGAGGGCGGCTGCAAATTTTTTCTGCCAGCTCTGGAAAGCTTAATACTGTAGTCACCAAAATTACGAAGACGATGTTTTTGCACATACCAAAGCCCAAAATTGTGGAGCAGATAAGAAAGCCCAGCAGAGAAAAATCCATTTTGTACACAATCTCCATGACAATGATGCATCCTCCAGCAACCATTAAATGCTTTGGAGAAGAGAAAACCATATGCAGTCTGCAGATACATTAAAACCACAACAATCATTTTATGGGCCCATAATGTTGATTCCATGATGATGATAACTTTTTTTCAATCAAAGCACAATAATTGAAAATAAACCCCCCCATCACCATCCACTACACACCATCCACTACACCTACATCTATATAAGGAACCATTTGTAATAGACAGAAAAAGTATCAAAATATCAATCAATAATACATCATTCATTCTCTATACAATTCTCTTTATACATTGAATTTTAACACAAACAAACAGAATATGACCATTTTGAAACAGGGTGCAATCTAAATTAGTATTCTGCACTGATGTAATGAAACTTCTCATGATGCCATCATATAAATGGCCCCATATTACATCACCATGAAGAAGCATGCAAAATATGTTTTTAAATTTGTCATTTTTTTATTATTTTGTGGAGAGAATCAGAGCCATTTTAAGAGTTTATTACTCCTTCCAGCCCAATTTGTTGGTCCTTTCCGTTGTGGGATGTCCCAAAATGTAGTCTGCATATAATATTTTTTACGACTTTCCAAAAATTATAATTATAAAGAGTCTGAAAGCATTTAAAAGTAGCAATACAGGGATAGTTTTGGAAACTAACACCTCTTTAATTGAATGTAAAATAATTAATCCCTTATCTCGACACAGACTATACAAGAAACAAAACAATGAAAACAATAAGCTCGAGAAACCTAGTTGACAGCACTTCTGAACATATTCAATAAAGCTAATGTGAACAAACTAACAGAATATGACCATTTTGTAACAGGGTGCAATCTAAATTAGTATTCTGCACTGCTGTAATGAAACTTCTCATGATGCCATCATATAAAGGGCTCCATATTACATCACCATGAAGCAAGCATGCAAAATATGTTTTTAAATTTGTCATATTTTCACTTTATTATTTTGTGGAGAGAATCAGAGCCATTGTAAGAGTTTATTACTCCCTCCATCCCAATTTGTTGGTCCTTTCCATTGTGGGATGTCCCAAAATGTAGTCTGCATACAATATTTTTTATGACTTTCCAAAAATTATACTTTATAAAGAGTCTGAAAGCATTTAAAAGTAGCAATACAGGGATAGTTTTGGAAACTAACACCTCTTTAATTGAATGTAAAATAATTAAATGCTTGTTCCCTTACGCTGTGTTTGGTTGGAGGATTTAGAAAGGGAAAAAGAAAAGGTAGGCGAAATGAGAATAGAATATACCTATATTTCACGTAGTTTCACACATCTTTTCCCTTTCCATTTCCAAATCCCTCACTAAACCCCCAACCAAACACAGCATTAAAGTGTTTGGAACTTAAGAGTTGGAATCTGTTTGAATCTTGGATATGGGAAAGGATTTATGGATGGAAAAGAAAAGAAACTTAAAGTATGTTAAAAAGAGATTACTACTAATATGATTTAGAGATTGAACATGAATAGTCCGCAGTTAGAATGCATACAATCATTTCATTTAAACAAAAACATATCAGTGAGATCATAATGTGTTTTAGCTACACTTCTCATCTCATCAACTAAACCCAACTGATGGGATATGTTAAAAAGAGATTACTACTAATATGATTTAGAGACTTGAAAATGAATGAATAGTTTGCAGTTGGTGCATACAATCATTTCATTTAAACAAAAACATATAAGTGAGATCATAATGTGTTTCAGCTACACTTATCATCAATTAAACCCAACTGTTGGAATTGGAAGTAATTTGGAAATCATGAATTTACAAGCTGCACCTATTTATCATATTTGGATGAGAACATTGACTTCAGCAGAGAAAGATGAAAATTTGTAGTATATCAATGAACTCAAGCAAAAGCTAATATATGTACATTACACAAAGTAAGAAAAATCTGTTGGAAATTTTTGTAGTATATCAATGAACTCAAGCAAAAGCTAATATATGTACATTACACAAAGTAAGAAAAATCTGTTGGAAATTTTGTTCACACACTATGTAAGTCAACAAGGAAAATAAGCAATAGATGAAAGGCATATAAGAAATATAAAAAAAAAAAAAAGGATGTAGAGTTGATTTTAGCAGCCAACAAAAGTACAAATTATAAAACCAAAGTTGCACATTTCAGACAGGGAGAGCAATAGAACGTAAATTTATAGGTTGAAAACCAAGTAGCAAACTGGAATAAGAATAAATTTCTGGCAGATCAACCAGTGTGCTTACAAAATGCCAAAAATATACAAGTAGTATATCCTTTTTTTTAAAACAGAATCTTAATATTTTGACACAATGACATCAACCAAAAAAATAGAGACGGTATGCTGGGTATTAGCTATGTCGTTGGGTGTGATTATGTGTCTATGTCGGATTCATTTAATTCTCACAACCAAGGACACTGGGATATGGATATATTTCATGTTTCTTAAATACTTCTTTCATTTATTTAGAATTAAAGAGCCCTTTTTATACATAGAATGGGAATATTAGGCACAGTTTCACAACAACCTCAACCACCTAAACTTAATTTTTAGGTGTATGTCCAACTAGAAATTTGGCAAGTAAAATCACTGTAAAAATAAAACATCAACACCAAGTAAATCAGCCAAAATAATTAGTGATGTCACCATTGGTTCTATAATTAAATAAATTATACACATCCAAATGAGTGGAACATAATCGAAAGATTGAGATCATTCAACCACGTTGAATAGCTTATGAAGTGAAATGTCAAACATGATAGATATCATGCATTAAAATCTGCATAAGCATGCACAGCCATGCATGTTCCTAGAATCCTAGCCCAAATATCAATTTGAGAACCATTAACCAAACATTAGCAAATCGAGAAGGCTAGAGGAGCATTTAATTAATTAACTTCACCATACCTCTCCTCTGCTATACTGTCGACATAGAATATCATGATAATTCCAAAGACTATCGTGCTCAAAAAAGCCCATGCAGAAAATGGCACCTCTATGCTGCTATGAGAAGTTGATCCCTGAAGTGCTCAAAGGGGGGTGGGGGACGAGAGAGAGAGGGAGAGAATTATCAGGATTCCAGTAATTCTAGACAAAGTTAGAAAATGCCAAAAGTAGAAAGTCTTAGAGGTCAACATACTATAATCATGTCCCACATGGCCACAGGAAAGAGAAAACAAGTTGCAGCAGCAATAGTTATGGCATTAAGTCGCCTCTTAAGTTGATTCTGAAATTGAAGAATGCATACAATCAGATATTGCAATGGACAATAAGTAGCCATCGCCACAAGTACTAGTTGATTAGAATTAGTTAGTTTTTGGGCATTTGTGGGTTGATTCTTTTTGTATTCTTTGCATCGCCTCGATGCTTCTTCAATAAAGTTTGTTTATTTATCCAAAAAAAAAAAAGAAAAGGCACTAGTTGATTAGAATTTATGCTCACAATACAATCCAGAATTTAATTGTACATAGAATGGATGTCAATACCTTGAGTGAAACACGCCTTGCAATTACCCTTCTTAACGCAGATAAGATTCCAGCAACGATGGGAACCACCATTTCCTTCATGCCCAGAACTTGTTCTGTCTGAACCTCAGTATCAGGATTATCACTAGATGGTATTTTTCTGGTTAAGTTCATCATCAGAAAAGAAATAATATGCTGATCGTTTAGCATAAGAAATAAGGGAAAAGAGAGCGGAAAAAAATAATAACAAATGGAAGTACTGATCCAACATTAGCTAAAAAAGTATAGTTCAATCTACAAGAGGATATAGAACGGGGAATGTGTGGCCATGGCCCACCCTTGAGATAACAAGTACAAAGAGCCTAACATTGCAATGAGTCCACCGACCTAATTAAAGATGAAGAAACACCCAATTGAGTAGGAAAAAATACAAAAGGCAAAATAAAATAAAATAAAAGCATTTCAATTCAAATATCTCCACCAACACCAAGGAGCCAATGTATTAGATCTCATTCTGTCAATTCCCACATAAATATCGTTAAAGTTAGAGGTTGACCACTCATTTTCAGCTCCACCAATTACATATGTGAGGGGCAAGGGGGCTTCAAGAAAATAATACACTTGCATCTTTGTTAAGCAATGAACGGAAATAAATAAATAAAATGAAGCACATAGAATGACTACTTCTGAAGGGGCATCACCATGCTAATGACGAGAAAACATGTAATAAGTGTACCTTTTTCCAGACACGGCCCCTTCTTCCATACAATACTGCAGATAATACTCCAAGGACGGCACCGGAATATTCTGCCATTATAGCCCTGAAATTTTTAATAAGAAATTGAAATCAACACAGCAAAGTAGAAAGAAAACACATTGTATCCAAAGTAAATAAAAAAGGGCACTATGACAATAGCCTCCATTGTAACAGACATGAAGAAGGTGAATGACCAAACACCATGTCCATGATGAGAGATGCTGTAAAGGGAATCTATGAGAACAAGACATATATCATAACCACTGTAACCCTAGAATTCAATATCTATAGCAATGCTATGCTTACTCTTTGGTTTGACCATTTACATTTACCATTTGATGTGGCATACTTCATCATTGATACAATAGGTAACCACATGCCTAACACTAATATTTAAGGGTTATGGAATGTGCCACATCAAATGATAAAAGCATTTGGTCAACAAGCATTTTTATTGGAAAAATGTTCGCCCATGTGCAAAAGGAAAGAAGAGACAACAGAATACTACACCACTACAACACTTTCAAAACCCAAAATCATGTAACGTTATTTAGATGAATCATCTGATGGAGGAGACTAATTCGTTCTGCTTCCCCCACTTGCACCACCTCAAGCACAAAGGTATGGCCTCCCATACCTTTCTCATCTTCTTCAAATGGCAACCTCCTACCCAAGTCTCGTATAATTGAAGATTGATGTTGCCATTACCCAATGAACACCAAAAATGGAGAAGAATAAATTCTAAAACTCCCTTGCAACCCACCATCTCTTCTGCCTTGGAACACCAATTCAAAGCATCTTACCCTTTTTTTCCTAAATTATCAATAGTGAGAATGGAGTCCACAAAGAAAGCCACCTTGGTTGCAACCCCCACCTTCCAAATGTTTTTCAAGAAAAAGACCAACATGTTGCTCCTTTGCTAATAGCGTGAAAAGATTTAAACGAGAATCTTCCACCATTAGCTTTCCACAACCTATATCTCTACCCTACAAAGAACACAAAAATGCATCCACAGCATCTAGCTCCCAATCCTGCACAACATGAATGAAAAACGAAAAACGGCTCCATGCTATCCTCGATTCCATGATCTTGACATAGATAACATACATTTGTATAAGATATATATCAATGTCCTTTCATACTTTTCTAAAACAAAATCCTCATTTTATCATAATTCCATTCCATGTAAATGACCGAGTACGTTATAATCTTAATGTTCAAGCAATGCATAAAACATGTCTGGATGTGTCAAAGGAATGTCGTGTCTATATTGTTTTCTAAATGAAAAAAGCTCCCTTCTAGAAGTGATTGTGCTGCTTCGTTTTTAGCCATTTCATTCTCCTATAGTCCTATTATTTATTTTCCATCATTTTTGTAGATTTTCAAGATTTTACTGACATTGTGCCATATTCATAAACTAGAATTACCAGGTTTCACCAAAGCAAGTTTCAAATCAGTTCTCAAATATCTGAAATATATCAGTCCCATGCTTTACTTGCACTTGGTAACATGAAAAAGAAAAGAGAGAAACAGTATTGAGCACTTAATACATCCAGAGTCCTAGTTGTAATCTTTCTTGTAAGCATAAGAAAGTACCTGACAGGGCCACATGATTTGACACCCTTTCCCCACAAAATGAAGTATAAAGCTGTTATTCCACCATTTATTATAGAAGGTACTACCTGAAAAGCAAATAGAGTAACAAAAGAAATATGTGATCACGTCAAGTAGTGAATTTCATTTTGCAATATATCATTAATTCATCATATAAAAGTATATTTTCATTATACCTGTGTATTAGAAAGCGGTCTGCCCTTCCACGGCTTTTGCAAAACTAAAAATATGATGGATGATGGAATCAGACAACTGAAGATAAAAAGTAAAACTGAAGCTCCTGTCTGAGACAAGTAGTGGTACATGGAGTAAACCGACCATATTCTCATAAAGTTGCCAATAATGTGGATTATCTGCAATGGAGTGTGCCTACAAGGAAACAAGGCTTTCACTGAAAACAACTGAGGCTACCAAGAAAACCCGGGTATAAAATATGTGAAAAGGGATGCAAGAGAACAAAAATTTTATGATTTAGCATATTTGACAAATCTCGATGGTCTTGTGACATGTCATTCCAACAATGTTTTCCAATAGACTAATTATCAGCAAAGGGAGGTAAGATTTCTATACGGATAGGACGTTTTGCATATTTAAAATGGAAAAAAGGCAAGAATAAAAGTCTAAATGTTCTAGGGGCTGATCATCAAAGCAAGAGCAATAAGGATGAAGGAATTTGAGTGCTGATGTAGCTAATAACCACTTTTGTAGTAGATTCATTAGGATTGTCACCTTTCTAATAACCACATATATAATATGAGTGTATAATCTAATTGGTCATAATGATAAGATAATCAACTGAAAACCAAACATCTAAAGGCAGCAGTTGATTTGCCCACTAATCAACTTCAAGGCTTTTGTTGTTAGGGATATAAAGTATTCATACAAGAGGATCAAGATTTATATTGAGTTTCAAAACTAATAAAAGAGACCTTCAAATGACTAAATATAGATAAGATATCAGGACGTCTCTTTCTTAGTAATGGCTAATGACTGCTTGCATGATTTAGAATCTTGATTTGGAATAGAATCATAGTAATTAATATTACTAAGTTCTATGTAAAACATGAAGCATCTCCTTCTAAGGACTTCTAATTGAGATATGAATACACACTAGGTTGCACAAAAAAGTTGTTTTGCATCAATCCAAAGCCCCAAAAGGGGTTTTAAAAGATTAAAAAACATCCCCTGGATAAGCTTCACGACCAGGTGGTCTTCGTAATAGAAGAGACATTTGGCGATAAGCTTGTGCTTGTTTGGATGGATCATCATAAATGATTAAAGTATGTCGTTCCCGGTACATAAAATATTCAGCCAAAGCGGCTCCTGTATAAGGAGCGAGATATTGTAATGTAGCAGGGGAATCCGCCGTTTCGGCTACTACAATAGTGTATTCCATCGCTCCCCTTTCTTGGAAAGTAGTCACTACCTGAGCCACAGAAGATGCTTTTTGACCAATAGCTACATAAACACATATTACATTCACACATTTCTCTTATTTGCCCAGACTCTTGACATGGTCTGTCCTTTTATTTCTCTTGAACCAAAACCACAATACACTATTAGAATACATACAATACATAACTTTGTATATCTCCTTACTATACAAAACCCTAATAAAATAATTAAGAACACGGAATTTCTAAAAACTCAAGATATCTCACATTCAGGTAGCTAACAACAAACTATTGCCAATTTGATAAATGCCCGGGATGGAAGGCAACAAACTGTTGAAATTTATCTCTGCCAATTTGATAATTTAACTTAGCAATGTACTTACAAATTCAATCAGAGTTCAAATCACTTTGTCAACTCCCTATACAGCATATAGTACGAATCAATAAAACAACAATACACTAATCACTGCATGGAAGAAAACAAGGAGTCCTTCCTTCCCAAACTGAATCTTGAAAATCTCATTGGTCAACTCCAGATAAAACACAAACCCTTACTTTAACTGAATCTGCTTCAATTAATTGGATTTTTTTTGTTTTCTTGGTAAACAAACAAGGGTTTAGGCTTAACTATTGCCTTGTGGTAACACCGAACAACATTTTCCTCAATTTGGAATCTGATAAACTGTTGAAATTTGTGATAATTGAACTTAGCAAGGTATCTTAAAAAGTCAATAAGAATTCGCATCACTTTGTCAACTCCCTATACAGCTTAGTACGAATCAATAAAACAACAATGCACTCTAATACCATAATTATTACCAAATTAATCGCCACATGAAAGAAAACAATAAGTCCTTCCTTCCTTCTCAAATTGAACCTCGAATTTTTCATCAGAGAAATCACAAACCCTTACTTAACAAAATCTGCTACAATTAATTGGCTTTTTTTTTTCTCGTGTGTATGTGTGTTTTCTCGGGAAACAAACAGAACGTAAAAGGATATTGGTAAACATACCTGAACGTAGCCGGATTGGAAGAGCCTCGGTCTTCTGAAATCTGCTTTGGGGACATCATCGTTATCGATCTATACAGCTTAGTACGAAGAAATGCAGCTTCAAGAAGAAGCTATTTTACATGATGTTTGTATATATATATATATGTGTGTGTGTGCATATGATCAGCAAAGTCATAGAGAGAAATTCATTGCTTCCTCTGCTTCTGGAATTCACAAGCGATGTCGTCGAATCTCGCAACTCGAGAGCAAAACAAAGAGGAACTCTTTTTTTGTTTGCGCGAGTGGTGTTTGTTTTGTTGAGGTCATTTGACTGATGGGCTTCTATGGGCCGGACTTTGAGCCCAGTCCATTAACTAAATAAACGCACTCCACCTATCTTATTATATAAAGACAAGAAAGTTCTAAATTATCCTATTAATTTTTTTAATTTTAAATAATTAAAAAGCACCATTAAATCCTCATTTTGAAAATGTTAAACGATTTAGTTCTTTATATTTTTTTAAAGACAAATAGATCCCAATTCAATATTAAAGACTTTGCCGCCCATGTTTTTATGAGGTACATGTATAAAATTAAGGGTAAATAGGGGTTTTTGTTGGTATTTAATTTACAAAAGTGTCCAACGTTGAAATGCATTGTTCCGATGTTGTCCCTCTACTGTGGGAAAATGTGGAGGGTTGTTTCCGGGTTGTCGATTGTGATTCCGATGTTGCAGCAATTCTGTTCGCATGATTCCTATGATTTTGTTGGTGTTTGGTTTTGTAATGTTGATGTAAATTCGAAATTTCTCATTTGTTTGCCGCTGAAAGCCCTAGGTAGCTCAAACCCTCATTTGTAGAAATACGTTGGAACGTCATCAAGTTGGGTCTCAGTAACGTTTTGTCCATCAGTTGGCGTTGAATCAGGCAGGAAGATATTGTCGGCGCCGGCGATTGTCGTGTGAACACATGGTGTATTCTCGCACACATCAACCCAAACATTAATCCCGATCGTCGATTGTTGATAATGTGTGTGAGAATACATTGGGTTGATGTTGTGTTATGTGTTATACATTGGTGTGTTAATGGCAGGACTTCTATATCGGGATTAATGTTTGCGGCTGTTGTGCCCTTTATTATGATGTAGTTGTGCTGTAATGTGGATTTTGTGTCTTTGAGTGAGTCATTGTCGTGGTTCTGTTGTTTTTGTGATGGTCGATTTGTGTGTTTGCTTGCGTGGGTGAAGGACCACTAGTTTTGGGTGATGCGTTCATGACTGGTAAAAAATGAGAGGATGGGCATTGGAAATAATTTTTTGTTGTTTCTTTGTGGGCTGTGGTCCCCTGTTTTTGTAGGGTATATGAATAAGTTAATAGTTGAAGTGGCGTTGTTAAAATTTCAATGTTCATGTTAAGTTGTGAAGTCCTTAAATTTCAGTGAGGTTTGTACCGATGATTTTATTGTGTAGATGTAATTCATTGGCTAACAGAGGTCGTATGCATGTGTGTATTTTTTGGAAACGTTAGTCAAACAACGTTTTGATTACAAATGTATGAATGTGGTAGTTGCATACGTAGTGTTAAATTGTGCACAACATTGTCGTAGACATGTTGAGGCAAGCGGTTAAATAGTGACTGAAGGATTAAGTAGTGGAAGTTTGCAATAGGATAGTAGTGTTAGTGTACATTGTTATTATAGTACTGTTCTGTTGTGTTTCATTGTTTTTACACACCCAAAACAACTTAATCAATAAGAACACCAACTGGGAAACAAGCTATGCTTCGACATGAGTCCACGACATTCACGGAATTCCCTCCTAAGAAATAGTAATGTTACAGTATATCCCCAAACCCATGCACCAGAACAACATTAAAAACAAATCATAATATGGGCAAAAAGGTAAACCTCATATACAATAAATCAAAAAAATATATTATATCAAAAATAAAAAGAACTAAATGGTTTAATAAAAAACACTCAGGACTAACTAGTGAAACATTTACCAAAGTAGGATTTATGAGTAATTTTTTCAAAAATCTCTATGGGCAGCTTTTAATTAAAATTTTAATTAGTTTATGATTTATTTGATAATCTCACATCATCAAAAGAATGAAAAAATGAGTTGTTTCATTTATATAAAGTAAATCTTATACTTGCAGTATTGTGTATTATTCAATTTAACACAGTTTAAATTTTAAAATAAAAACTCTAATTAGTCTATGCTATAATTTATTTCATAATCTCACACCGAGAGAATAAGAAAAAAATGAATTGTTTCACTTATATAAAGTGAACATTATAATCTCATATCTATCTATTTATATATTATATAAGCAAATGAGGATTTTAACCACATGGTTGTGTGAGCTCCAAATTCTCAATATGAATTTTTAGAATTTTTATATTTTTAAATAATTAAAAAACTTTCTATTGGTTAACCCAACTAAAAAAAAATCTAATTAATATAGAAAATTATGTCAATTAAAAACATAAAAAAACAAAAATGATCTATGCTTAAAAAAAGATCTATTAGTCAGTTCATCTATTAAAATAAAAAATAAAAAACTTTAAATATCTGTACTTTTGAATTTCAAAATTCAAAAACATATATCTCACTTAATATGAGAAGTATTGATTTTTTTCAATATTTCCTTCCTAAAAATTATAAAGGACATAAATCTTTAGAAACCCTAAACAACCTAAAAATCTAATGTAAGCAAACTCCATATTCAATCTCTTTCCCCGAGGCCAACCAACTCTCAACAAATCTATGTGTAAAAATGTTAGTCTCTTTCTTATTGCTAATTTGAAGTAATGGAAAATTGAGAAGTAACATTGAGTTATGAATATGTAATTATTTTGAACCATGTAAATCTATCTATCTATCTATCTATCTATATCTATATACAAATGTAATGTAGTTTCTAAAGCTTCCAAACTCTTAAACCTGGCCTCTCGTTTAAAGTTTAGACTATCTCTCCTATTTGGTAGTCTTAGAAATTTTCTTTTTCATTTTTCCTAATTTCTAATAAAAAGCCATTTTTTATATGTAAAAACAGTAAAATCTGAAATAAAAAAGATATGGATATGATATAGAACTCAAAATATGATCAACCCTAATTTAAGATATTTCAAATCTAAATATTAAAAAATAAATGACATATTCCACTCTCAATTCTTCGAAAATATGACCAAATCTAATTATTAAAAAATAAACGGAATATTTTACTATAAATTATTATATTATTAGAGTTTTATTTGATTTGCTTCTTTTTTTTTTCCCCACATTCATCTAATTTTTATATATCTTTAAATTTGAAATTGAATTATTTTCTTCTTCCAAATCTAATTATTAAAAAATAAACAAAATATTTTACTCTCAATTCTTCTATTATCAGAATTTTATTGATTTGCTTTCTCCCCCCCCCCCCCCTTTTCTTTTTTGTTTAAAAAAACCCCCCCCCCCCCTTCCTTTTTTTACAAATTTTTTTTTTTCCCCCCCCCCCTCATTTATCTTATTTTTAAAAAAACTCCTCCCTCCCTCTTCCTTTCTTAGAAGATTTTATTTTATTTTCTCCTTTCATAATTCTTAGAGTTTATCTTCAAATTTAAACTATTGAGTCTCTATTCGATTGAAAGTTATATATTATCATTTTGCGATCATGTTGATCAAGTATTGCTACTTTTTTATCGTGATTTTTGGATTTGTAATATTTTTATGTTTTTGATGTATGCTATAAATATATCATTTCTCATTCAATTGATTTGCATGCGTGTTTGTTTGTATTACTAATTTTGTATGTGTATATATGCTATACTAAAGAAATGTTTTTTTTTTCCCTCTTGGATTGGACATAAAGGAAAAGGGTATAGCAAATTAGAGACAAGAAGCCTGATAAACTTATCTGAAATCGTAGTAGAAGAGGTATCCCTCAATAGTACAATGGTTAGAAATGAAATGCAGAAACAACCAATAGTTTTTTTTCTCATTATGATGTGGACGGAGCATTTTTATTTATTTATTGAATGTTTAGTATGATTTATATTTCATATGATAATTTTTTGAATGAATATTACTATCTCTTCATTATGTTTCTTTTCATTTATGGTGTACTTTTATTATTGAAATACCTTGAATACACTTGCACAAAGACACATTTTTTTTTTGTATTTATAAGGAAAACTATAGATTTTATTTGCATTAGGAATTTAAATAGTGTTCATATACATTCAATTTTTGGCCGATTGCAAATGTTCATATAAATTCTCTTTTGGTTGTAGCATTGTTCTTATTAGTCTGTTTTTTTTTTTTTTTAAACATGTCTTATTTTCAGATATGGTAGGAAATGTTTTTAAACGGTACTACTGTGGATGCTACTATGATTGCTCCAATCAAAATCTAATCCCTCATGTTTTATTTTGTTTTACAAAATTCAAAATATAATATGTACATACTTGGTTTGAAAATCGAAATTATGTTTTGAAATGAAAACTCTACCATACTAGACATGATTTCAATTCTTTTGTTTTTCTTATAGTTTTTTATTTTAAGATTAAAAAATTTAATTATTTTCATTACTTCTTTAATTTCTTAGATTGTAAGAATCTATTAAATTTTAACACTATATTTTGTTATGATTTTAATGGATAAATAATTCAATAAAGAATAAAATTTAAGATTTAAATGTATATTTTGATAGATATTTGTAGTGTCCCACCAATAAGGCAATGCAAATTTGCCACTACATTGACAATATATGTTAGTTTTATTTTTATTTTATGTTATGAAAAACAAAATCAATCATTTTAAACATACTACAACTAAATTTATTTTGGGTGGAGTAAGAGAAAATTAATTAATTTTATGTATAGTATAAAATCATAATAGGTATTGTGCATTAAACTCATATTTTTTTTTTAATTTATAATTTTACACAACTTTTAAATTTTCAAATAATACTTTGTTTGGTTTGGAGTTTTCAAAAACAGTTTTATGAGTTTTCAATTTTATTTTTATATTTCTAGTGATTTTTTAAAAATATTTTTAAAAAGTTTATTTTTATTTTTTAGATCGACTTAATTATGACACACTTTAAAGATATAACATTTGTACAAAAATCTTTAAAAAAATCATTGAATGCAACAAAATACGAAAATATATTAAATTTTCTTATTTTTCTTATTTTTTGTATTTGGTGAATTTTTAATTTTTTTTTTTACAAATATTATACTTTTTAAGTGTATATAGATTAGGTGTATCTAAAAAAAATATGTAAAAAAATAAAAAATCAATTTT